AGAAGGAGAAGGAGAAGGAGAAGGAGAAGAAGAAGGAGAAGAAGGAGAAGAAGGAGAAGAAGGAGAAGAAGGAGAAGAAGGAGAAGAAGGAGAAGAAGGAGAAGAAGAAGAAAGAAGAAGAAGAAGAAGAAGGAATTTTCCCTCCAGGCTAACAAAACTGGGTTTGTTTCTCTCAGAAAGGACAGTAAATGAAGCTCTAGGATAGCCTTAGAGTGGGTATCCAAGTAGTTGTTCTTTTCTATCATCTTCCCTGAATCTAGCTCCATCACCTTGTCAAATATACAAATGCCTGTACAGCACCAAATGGACAAAGTAGCATTTGTAACTGTCTGAATGTGTTGATGACCAGTCTGTGACAATATTAGGCTGGAATCCCCAGTGTTCTGTCTCGTCATCTGTTTCTTCATCAGCAACCTGTTACCGACCCACCTCTCCACCCCAACTTCCACAATTGCTATGCACATTTCACCCTAGAAACCAGAGATCCTCAAGCAAGAATGTACTGCAGCCCTTTGGGCCATAATTCACCCAGGATTCTTGCCACCTTGGAACATCAGAAGTATTTCAGGGAGAGCCCCGATTTCTCGGTCTCTGCATGCAAGGTTCACACTGACCATCACTCAAGGAACTGTGATGATGTCTTCCACTAAGAGCCTGGGTCCCTATCTCTGTTTGCCTCATTTGCATATTGGCTCTACTCTGTCAGTCTATGGTCAGTTCACTGAGTCACATAAGCCAAGCCAGCCTTTAAAAGCTGTTGGTCTGGTAAAGGATTCTGCCTACCTGCATGGCTCTCTACCTCTGCTTTACTACGGCCCACAGAGTTCATTCATATAGTCCATTCTCACTTCTGATGCCTACTGCAAGTTCTGAGGGGTTTCCATGACTCCTCTCAGGTTGGCAATTTGTTAGAAGGACTCATTGAACTCACTGGAAGCTGTTACACTCACATTTACAGCTGATTATCGCTACAGGTTGCAGGTTACAATCTGACTATGAAAGAGGCCACAAGGCAGAATTGAGGAAAATCACACCAACAGTTTCCAGTTGTCCTCTCTCCGTAGAGTCGTGGACAACACTAACTCTCCCCAGAAAGGACATATGATATGTGCATAGAACATTACTAACCAGGCCAGGTCTTCTGGGCCTCAATGTCTAGGGTTTTTATTTGGGCTACACAGTGGGCCTCTAAAGAATTGACCTTGAATCTCCATTCCTCAAGAGACAAAGTAGAAACCACTTGGCTAAGAGCCCTATAATAAATCACTTTATCCCATGTAGCTAACACCCCCAAGAAAACAAAGACATTCTTATCAGGCAGGACACCCCAGGGAAGGTCACCCCTAATAGCTGAAGACACCACCAAATACATTTCTAACTCTACCTTAGTAGTTTGGAAAGTAAAGACTTCTTGTTTTAGAGCTGACCAGGAGGGAGAAGAACTGGAGATAATTCCACACACAGTCATCCCCCTCTGTTGGTATTTTAATGAGATGCCAGGTCCACCAGAGGGGGCTGTGGTGTATACCTCTATAGTCTTCCTGCCACAAGCTCTCAAGGTTTAACCCCAATTTTAGGATCACTCAGAATTCTTCCTGATCCCTAAAGAATTAGCCAGCCTACCCCTCTGCCAACTGCAACTCCATTGTACCAGACAGCAGCATCTTTCCTCATCAAACACCTCTTCCTTCCAATGGCCTCACTTGACACGTTTCTTTTATATCACAAAAGGTAACTGAGCAAATTTTACATCTACAAACAATGAACATTCAAATTCCTATTGGATTCATACAACACATCAAAGCCAAGGACACAGGCTGGGAGAAAAGCTCAGTGGTGGTTGGACAGAGGTCCTTATGGATGTTAGTTGTACCTCCATGTCACATGTCATATCTGGCATATATGTGTGTATATATATATATGTGTGTGTGTGTGTGTGTGTGTGTGTGTGTGTGTGGACATACATTTTTATGTCTATACCCATATACATATTTTTGAGGCAGTCTTGTTATGTTGTCCAGCATGGTCTTGAACGCACAAACCTTCTACTTCAGTTTCCTAAGGAGCTGAGATTAGGGGCATATGTACTCCTGTACACAGCTCTCTGATTCCTTTTATGGGGGGAGCAGCAGAAAGGAATGAGTGCTTGCAATCAAACCCTAGAGTGAAGTTGATCCTAAAACCGCACCTGTCCCAAGGCCCACCCTCCCATGACCCTGAAAGGGCACCAAGGGCCCTGCTTTGCTCAGTGGAACTAAGACATCACTATAAATACTGTCACAGAGAGTACCCCCCCACCGACTTTATCCAGGCTGGCTGGGGCCTTGGCTGCTTCCGGAAGTGGCTTTGTCCCAATCTTTGCCCATAGGAGCAAAGAGACTAGAGGAAGTCACAAACTCAGTCTCCTTATGCACTCTACCGATGCTACGCAATGCACAGACAGAAACTAGAGATTCCAAATTACCTGGGCTTTCATCAATTGCAGATTCTAGAGAGACCAGTTTACTGCCTGGCCCCAAACTTTACCTCCCCTACCCCCCGCCAGAGCAAAAGAGCCCCTTTTCCCCTGCTCCCATAGAAGCCGCCTTGAACAGTCCTCCTGACTAGCATTACTCTGGGAGGAGACAGCAACCTTGTCTCTTTCATCTCCAAGTCCCATGGTAAGTTAAGATAGAATTGTTAGCACTTGCCAACTGTGTCAAGTTTGAATCCTGGCTCCAGGACTGCAGAGAAAGAGAACAGCTGGTTATCATGCCCCCTCCTTAGGGCTGGGTGAGGTCCCCTTGGTGTGCACAGAGTAGGGAGAGTTTACTGGGTGACCTGGGAAAAAAATCAGGTGCAGCCCCCTCCCTCTCCCCCCGCCAAAATCATGGTCTATGACAATCTACCAAGGCTGAATCTCTAGGATTGAAGCCTCCTCATCTCAAATGCCAAAGAAATCCAGCAAACCAGGGACACTTGTTCCAGGGACAACCTGGAAGCTGAGCTCAGCTCCCTCTCTCCCACCTGCAACTCCTGAAGGTAGAGACACCCAGCATCCAGGGGCCAGGCGGTAACGGCACAGGATCGGAACAACCTTGACACTGCTCCTTATCATCAGCCCAACAAAGTCACCCGCAGTGACCTGGAGTGACAGTCCTGGCTCCTTTATTTGGGAGCCATGAACTTAGCTCTCCTTCCAGGCTCTGCTTCCGGGGATGAGCGCCAAGGCTTGACCTGGCCATGGACTAGAACATGCTACCACATTTCGTCTCAACTCTGTCATCCATGATCTTGAGCTGTGTAAACTCTCCTCCTCTCTAAAATGAATTAAACTCGTTTCTGGAGAAGTCCTATGGAGAATGAGGTGACTCGTGCCAAGAAAGAGCCAGGAACACCTGGAGACACAGCAACACACTATTTTTACTTCCTACCTGAAAACAACAATCTCTCCACAAGTGGGCTATGTTGGCTTTTCCCGCACATTATGTTTGTGGTCGGATCATGTCTGTATTTAAACCAAACACAATATTTAAGCCACCAGAAATAAGAAATAAACAAAGAAGGGAAATTTCTACCTCATGTTTTTTTCTTCTTCTTTTTCTTCCTTCAGTCTATTCATCCAGATGGTGATAATTAGTGGAATCACCTGTTGCACCTGTTTATTGTTTATGTACACATTCTACCTATAGGAATATGTGGGGAACTTTCTAGAAGAGTCTATTGAGTGGAGCTACAGATCTACCTTGTAGCTCCAGCATGCATCCTTGAGTTCTTTAGTGGAGTCAAGAATAAAACTCGATACAAGAAAGACCAGCAAAGCCAGGCATAAATGACCAGGCCCAGGCCTCCTCTGCCTGACACTTAAGCTGAAGCACATCCTGAGCTTCAGTGCTTGCTTGTGATGATGCCATCATCACAATGACTACTGGCATTCCTTAACATTCCTCTTGCCAAGTCCCACACTAAACCCTTTGGGTGGACACTCAGGTAGCCAGTCACTTGATTGAGTGATGTGAAAAAGAACTCAAAACTTTCAGTGGACATGTGGGTTGTGTTCCAGTTTTTGCCAGTAACTTCCTATCTTTCTTTTATGACGCTAGGTAAGTCATCTTCCTCTGGACCTCACGCTAAAGACTGGAATAACTGAATTCCTACCTGTGCCCAGGAACTCCTGGAGTCATGGTTGGGTTCTTGGGTTGCCTGCTGGTTACAGGGGTCAGAATGTTTCCAATGGCCTCAGTGAATCAGCTGAGGATATCTGTGTGGATGAGACACATACAGCCCCAGTACTAGTTTAAGGTGAAATGGTTATTATAGAAATCATATTTAAAATGTTGATCCCAAGTGCAGTTTAGGATTGGAACGTGGCGTTATTACAGAGAAGACGGCATTACTTCTGTGTACTGTGATTTTCTTTTTTTTGGGGGGGGGTATTTTCTGAGATTTATTAGTTTTCCATCAGGTAATTTTATAGCTTCATGATCTTCCCCTCAAAAGTAAGACCCCTCTTCCCTCCTTCCCCCAAAGTTTAGAACTGGATCACTTGGCCCTTTCTCTTCTTATCTCCTCCCAGTTCAAAATGTTTGCATCTCTTGATGGTCAGCATCCTCTTGGATCTGCAGTTAGGCTCAACACATTCAAGGCTCAGCACAATCTCCTTGGTGGTTTTAGCCTTCTTTCGGAATATTGGCTTGGTCTGCCCACCATAGCCGCTTTGCTTCCGATCATAGCGCCTCTTCCCTTGGGCATACAGAGAATCTTTGCCCTTCTTGTACTGGGTCACTTTGTGAGGCTGATGCTTGCCACATTTCTTACAGAAAGTCCTTCTGGTTTTGGGTACGTTGACCATCTTTGTAGTAGAGCTGTCGGGAGACCCGGAGACCACGACACGCCTGTAATTTTCTCTGTAAGCAGAGACTCTGCTTTAGGGCGCTGGAAGTTTGCCCTTCCAGTGCCTTGCAGTGAACCCACCGCTTCACCCTCTGAGCAGACCTGGGCAGACTGTCAGGGTAGGAAGCTGAACCCTGGGACACAGCCTTGGCCTTGTTACTATCTGCTAGGGAACAGTTGTGTCCCCAGTTTATATGTTGGATGCCTGACTACTAGGTGACTATATTTGGGGGGGATTTATGAGGCTAATCAAATTTAAATGAAGTCATAAGTCTGAGTTGAACAGGATGAATACCCTTATAAAAAGGAATCAGGGGGCTGGGAAGGTAGCTCAGTGGTGGAGTGTTTGCCTTGCATGCATGAGGCACTGGGTTTGATTCCTCTATACCACACAAGCTGGAAAGGCCAAAAGTGGTGCTGTGGCTCAAGTGGTAGAGCGCTAGCCTTGAGCTGAAGAGCTGAGGGACAGTGCCCAGGCCCAGAGTTCAGGCCTCATGACTGACCAAAAAAAAAAAAAAAAGAATCAGGGATCATACTTGATAACAGTACTAGAATACCTAGCCAGAGCAATAAGACAAGAAGATGAAATGAAAGAGATTCAAATAGAGAAGGAAGAGTTACCCCTGTTTGCAAAGGATTTGATCCTATATTTGAAAGATTTTTAAAGGAACATACACACACACACACACACACACACACACACACACACATACACACATACACACACACATGATCTGCCACACAGTAGGATATAAAATCAACACTAAACCTTAGCAGCTTTACCATAAACCAATAATAAAGGGAATGAACTTGTCCAAAGTACACTGAATGCATGTATAGAGTTTATCACAATAAAAGTCCTTCATATATGTATTATATGCTGATTCAAGAATAAGAAGGAGCAGGGAGAAGAAAGGAGAGTTTAACTCTCCAGTCTGTGATGCCTTGTTATGGCAGCCAGAGCTAAGCTCTTCATCCACTATGATCAGTTAGCTTCCTGGACCATGTCAGTGGAGGCAGCCCACAGTTGTATGTGAATGTCACAATCTGCCTCAGGACAACTATTTCATCCTAAGTAGGGCTTCAGTGATTCAATGTGGATCTTGTCTCCTAAACTCAATACAAACTCCTTCAGGCAGGAAGGTTAACAACCTTTTTTCCAACTTGTCTGCAAATTGCTCATGAAGTTGGTACTGGAAGGTATCACTCCAGTTGAGCTGATGGGGAAGACAACTGTGGTAGGAAACAGTGCTTAAGCTTTCCAGCTCTGGGTACTTGCCGTGCCTGTTTCCTTCAAGACCTAGGCTCTGGCAGCCCTCAGTGAAGACTTCCCTATGGGGTCAGATGGGCATGGGAGTGAGATGCTCTGGCTGCTTCCTACCATGTGGGACCAATGGAGATGGGGTGGTATTTCCACTGCCTGTGCAGTGGAACTCTCAACACGACTGAAGCTGTATCCATGGTTGGGTCAAGAGGGCCATGGCTGTTGGACAGGGCATTTATGTTCCTCCTCCAGAGCCCTGTCCAGGGAAGATAGGACTGACCAGATTAGAGAGGCATGTACATTCAACACAATGTCAATGAAGTTATGATGTTTTGAGTAGTTTTCATATTCTAGTAAACACCTTTAAATTGTTTGTCTTAAAATATAAATAAATATCTCAGGAGACTGAGATCTGAGGATAATCATTTAAACCCATCCCAGTCCAAAAAAAAAAGTCTATGAGACTCTTATCTCCAATCAATCATCAAAAAGCTGGAAGTAGAAGTGTGGCGCAAGTGGTTAGAGCTCTTGCCTTGGAGTGAAAAAGCCAAGTGCAGCTGTGAGGCCCTGAGTTCAAGCCCCAGTACAATCATAGCCAGCTAGCTTGCTAGATAGACAGCTTGTCTAGACCTTTTGTGGCTAAGTACTTTCCTTAGTAATGTAGCTCTTTACAATTGCCTTTAGAGGCAGGTTTTATAGACAGTTTGTAGGGAAGGAAACAGCTAGGCCATGAGTGACCAAATTCATGAACACCACACTCAGATTAACTCCTTGCTCTATTCCCTGTTCTGTGCTTCACACAGACGTTAATCCTAGCTATAAGCTACTGCTCCACTCAGCCCTCTGTGTCACAATCCTGTGCTATTGACTTTGAACTGTGAGTGGTTAGATGGCTCATTGTAAAGTAATGTTTCCCAAATAGGGTTCCAAGGGAACCTTATTTTTTAGGGAGATGATGAAACACACTTAAAAAAATACTGAGTTGGTCTATAATCGAGTCGGGGCCATGCTAAATAGAGTCCTTAGCAACTAAAAGCTCAAAAACAAAAGCAAAAACAAAAACAAAATCTTCACAGTAAGACACCATTGTGAAGTCAATTCCACTAATTTTTCAAACAATATCTTGGTCCAGAAAGCAGGTGATGTAAGATCGAGAAATGTCAGTAGCAAAGAGTACACACTTGCTCTCCATGACAGAAATAACGGATCATTGGAGCAAAAGGAATTAAAGCCATAATCACTGTCAAATCACCATGCTTAACTCCTCTTATAAAACATGTCACTAAAAAATTCTGTTAAATAACCTCTCAATGGTATTAACTCGCATCATTTCTCATGTCTGAGTGTATCTGTAGTTTTACTTGCACTATTACTACACATTACTTTGGTTACTTTATGGCTTATTTTCTAGATTTCTCAGGTATATGAATAGGTATCATTTACTAACACAAAGCAAGTAATTTCATGACATCTGCCAGCCCACACAGAGATTTTTAAAGGGGAGGATGGAGGAAATGGAGAAGGCAGTCTATGGGAGAAGCTCACTGCATGTTCTATTGTGCACAGCTCAAGGGGTTTCAAGCTGCAGCCAAGAGCCACTCTGAGGGATGGAAACTTGACTTTAGACAAATGGACTGCTGAGCCTCCCAGAGCTGACCTGTGTGTGTGTCCCTGTGTGGCCTGGGGAACTAGAAAAGAGATTAGAGACCAGGGAGATGGGAGGGGAGACATGGGCAAGAGCAGAAACTGGCTTTAGAAACTTGGAATCAAGGGAGTAGGGAGAGGGAAAAGAAGAGGGAAGGGCAGCGTGGTTTGACACAACACGTGAGGGTTCTAGAAATGATAGGGACCCATCAGAAACAGGGGAAGTGGTGACAGAAATGAGGCTGGTTCACCATGCATACTGCCCCAAAAGGCTTTGAGTAATTTAGGTCATCCTCCCAGTGGCCCCATTTTGAACACAGGGAAATTGAGGCAGAACCATTTATGTCACAGGCTGGATTTCATAGAGCTAATAAGTGGTCAAGTCAAGTATGAACTCCTGACAGACTCACATGAGTGAAGGAGCTGTATGGTGGAGGCGGGGGTAAGGGGTGCAGAGGCAGGTTCACCGCTTTGCATGGAGGAAGAGTGTGGTATTGATCTCCATGTGAACCATAGGGGGTGTCATGGAAAGTCAGGTTAAGGGAGGCAGTGTCAGCTATGTTCAACTGTGATCTCTGTTGGTTCTTTGCCATAATAGCATCCCAGGCATGGCTTTATTCATCCATTAGTGCCATTATAGGTGGGCATGAGCCAGGCTGTAACCTGAAAGCATGAAAATAGGAGGATATGAGTTAACTTTTAAAAGACTACACACCACCAGGCACACATACCTGTAATGTCAGCACTCAGGAAGCTGAAGTAGAAGGATCGAGAGTTTGAGGCCCACCTGGACTACATAGCAAGACTTTGTGTCTAAACAAACAAAAACTAACAATCCTAAACCAAACAGACTATCCATGCAACAGAAGGATACGGGAGCCATCTTCACATACAAAATCACCTTCAAATGAATCAGAGATCTGAATGTGAAAGCTAAAAGTATTGAACTCTTACAAGAAAATATAGGCATGAACCTTCATGATCTTGATTTAGGAAATGGCTTTCTTACAGCTGAATACCAACATCACAAGCAAAAAGAAGAAACACATTAGAATTCATAAAAGCTAAAAAACCTTTCTTCTGCAAACAATTCCATCAAGAAAGCAAAGACTGCTCAGAATAGGAGAAAATTCTTGCAAATCATACAGCTGATAAAGGATCTGTTTATAAAATGCATGAAGAACAATAATAAGATAAGCAACTCAATTTTTAAACATGGAAAAAGGATATGAATAGACATTTCTGCAAAGAAGAAATATAAATGGCTAATAAACACATAAAGGATACTCAGCACTATTAGTCATCAAGGATATAAGCAAAAAATCACAATGTAATACCAGTTTACACCAACCAGGATAGCTCTGATCAAATGACAGTCAATAAATAATAAAATTGTGAAAGCATTCAACTGTCATAATTACAGGTGGAACTTAAGATGGAAAACAGCTAGTTAGCCCTTCCAAATTTTAAGCACACGGATCATACAACTCATGAATCCCATCCCCATATATAAACCCAAAAGAAATGCAAACACAAAAACTCACAGAGAAAGGAGATATTCTGGGATCTCTGGGTCCCCAGCTCAGGCCTGGAGGAAGCTGCTCAGCCCATGAGGGCCAGCCAGACAGGAGGAAAGGGAGAGCCATACCTGCTGCTGACTGTGGGCTCTCCCAACCAGCTTCTCGGGTGTTCTGAGATGTTCCCCGAGATTTCCTCCATCTGGTGACTCTTGGCACTCTTTGCAGCCCCCCTTGGAGCCTGTGACAGCCAGGCTTTGTCTCTCTTCTGCTGTGATGGAAGCACCTTCCACTTCCATTCCTCTTAATGAGCCAGAGAGGTGAGGTAAACAGCCAGCACTGAAATTCACAGATGATACTAATTTGGGAAGTGTAGGAAGCCCCAGCTCTCCGAGAAAGAGCAAACCTACTAGGAAGGAAGAGGTTAGCAGCCAAAGCAAGTGCTAAGGTAGTGAGGCAGGCTTGGGACCCCAGGAATGTGGATGGTCACTGCTGACAGAGGGAAAAAGGTTGGGGAGAGGGGTGGGGGGGGGGGGAGGGGGTGGGGACAGGGAAGGGCTCTATTTTCCCA